ACAACCTATAAAATTTAGGCTCTATCTTGTAGGAAATGAAGTACTAAAAACTGCTGAATACTAAGTCCATGGAAACAGACCATCTCTCTTCCTCAGTATCAAAGCCATCATAGCTACGAACATGAGAGCCTGGACTTGGTTTGTATGTGAAATAAACTTTTTTGTTGATCAACACAGTGTAAAATGAAAAGTGAGATATTGGAGGTTAGGACTGGGTCGTAGGAAATTGGGGCATTGTACCGACAAAGCTAGTTTTGCATCTTACTGTTAGCTGCTATGTGGAGGATGGATTTAACAAGGATGAGACTAAAAGGAGCCCAGGTAGAAGGCCATTGCAAAGCCCTAGGCAAGAGTTCATGAGGGCCTATCTGAAGGTGGTGACCATGGGACTGGGGAGAAGGAAATGGGTTTGAGGGATAGTTAAAAGCAACATTATTAAGACTTGATGACCATCACTGACTGTCAGGGGTGATGAGAAGGGAGGATTCTAGAATGACCCCCAGGTTTCTGACCTGAGGGGATAGGGTGGGAAGTGGAACCATTAACCAGGGTATAGGACAAGATACAGCTTTGGGAGAGAAAGATGATGGGTTCAGTGTTACATACTGTGTAAATCAGGACTCCCTGGCTGCAAGCCATGGAAACACATGTCAAACTACCTTAGGCAATTTCACGGTTCATAAAACTGGATGATGGAAAGGAAGAAGTAGCAAAGACTTCATAACTACATCTAAAACCATCAGGATGTGCTCCCTGTCCTGCCCCATCTCTCTCTCCACTTGGCTTCCACCTGTACTTAGGGCTCATTCTCTCAAGGCCCTCCAAGTGGCAAGGGACATGTCTGCCTCTGTCCTGGAATCTAAGAAGAAAGAGAGCTACAGCTTCCACTGCCACATTGAAAAATCCCAGAAAAGAGACCCCAAGGAATAAAAGAATGAATGAAATAGTCTAAGTCCCTGGTCTTGAGGAATTATAGTCATAAAAGCACAGAAACTTGAGGCCATCTCCAGTACCTCTGGAAGGCTGAAACCTGGTACATATTAGGAGTTCAATATTATGCTTGTTAAATCAAAAGATGATTAATGGCACTTTTCATGAGTAAGATCATTTGGCATTTATGAAATAGTTTGGTTGCATACATTTTGTCCATTACGTAGACTAGAGCAAGGCAGTCCTCTGTCCCCACACCTAACTCATGCATCAAAATGTAACACATTGGTGGAATTTTCTTTTTTTTTTTAAGATTTTATTTATTCATTAGAGAGAGAGCAAAAAAAGGGGGAACAGCAGGCAGAAGGAGAGGGAGAGGGAGAAGCAGGCTCCCCATTGAGCAGAGAGCCCATGGGGCTCAATCCCAGGACCCTGGGATCATGACCTGAGCTAAAGGCAGACACTTAACTGACTGAGCCACCCAGGCGCTTCCTTCTAGGTGGGATTTTCTGATGGAAAGGCCACTTTCTAGCTGCAGTCATACTCCACTCACAATGCCTGGGAGAGCTCCTTCTGGCTACAGGAGCCAGAATACATGTTCTGCTTCTCACCAAAAATTCCTTCCTAGGGCGCCTGGGTGGCTCAGGTGGTTGAGAGACTGCCTTCGGCTCAGGTCATGATCCCAGAGTCCGGGATCGAGCCCCGCATTGGGCTCCCTGCTCGGCAGGGAGTCTGCTTCTCCCTCTGACCCTCCCCCCTCTCATGTGCTCGCTCTCTCTCTCTCATTCTCTCTCTCAAAGAAATAAATAAAATCTTTAAAAAGAAAAAATTCCTTCCTACCCACCACCACCACTGCTGCCACCACCATTGAGATTTTCCCAACTTGCCCTCAACATTATTACTTACCAGTTGGGAGAGAAGGTTCAGAGCCCTAGCAGACCACTTTTAAACACCATAGAACAAACTTTAAACTATCACAGTAAAAGCTGGTTTCTCTTCATGATTAAGTTCCTTTCAAGGCAAAGACTGGATGGGAACACTCAACAGTTATAAACGGAAATCAGCTTCCAGACCTACAGTCTTCAGTATTGCCTTTTGTCTGAACCTCAGTGTATTTCTTTTACTTGGTTTTATTTGCTTAGGCTGTCAGTAACACTTACTGAGGGCTACTCTATTATGCATGATACCATACTGAACACTAAAAGATGTATAAAAGCAGCCAGGTCTGCCCAGGGCACAGTCCAAAGAATGACAAGAACAGTAATTATTTGCTAAATCTAGATCAGACCACTTCATCTCAGTGTCTAGATTCCGGTGCCCTTGAATCTCTTCCTTCTGATCCTATGGGACCCCACACAGATTCACAAATGGCCATGATCATTTTTCTCTGACTTTATGGTGGCTTCCAGTTCATTCATCATTTTAAAAGCATATCTGCTTTCCCTGCTGCTACCGTCACACCTCCGGTCATAACTAGGTTGTTGTGGCCTTCACTATAGCCATACATTTATTTTGTTCCAGCTGCACAGTGGAATGCCCCCCCACACATACACACCTGTGATGTACTCTATTACCAGACCACAAAATAACTCCACTCCCAAACTCCATTTCATAGAAAACTCTAAAGATTTAGTTCTTCATTCCACTTGTTTTTTATTATAACCCTCTTGCCAACCACTCTGGAACTTGTCTATAGATACTACCTTAACAGTTAAGACTGTTGGGGCACCTGGGGGACTCAGAATCTTGATTTTGGCTCAAGTCATGATCTCAGGGTTGTGAGATTGAGCCCTGAGTCGGGCTCCACGCTGGGCATGGAGCCTACTTAAGATTCTCTCTCTCTCTGCCCCTAACCTCCTCCCTCTCTAAAAGCAAAGAAACAGGGGTGCCTGGGTGGCTCAGTTGGTTAAGCGACTGCTTTCGGCTCAGGTCATGATCCTGGAGTCCCTGGATCGAGTCCCACATCAGGCTCCCTGCTCAGCAGGGAGTCTGCTTCTCCCTCTCCCACTCCCCGTTTGTGTTCCCTCTCTCGCTGTGTCTTTCTCTGTCAAATAAATAAAATCTTTAAAAAAAAAAAAAGGGCGCCTGGGTGGCTCAGTTGGTTAAGCAACTGCCTTCGGCTCAGGTCATGATCCTGGAGTCCCGGGATCGAGTCCCGCATCAGGCTCCCTGCTCGGCAGGGAGTCTGCTTCTCCCTCTGACCCTCCCCCCTCTCATGTGCTCTCTCTCATTCTCTCTCTCTCAAATAAATAAATAAAATCTTTAAAAACAAAAAAACAAAAAAACAAAGAAACAAACAAGCAAACAAAAACAGTATAACACTGTTAAAACCTCTAGGAACTGGGCCAGAAGACCTTCTAGAAACCTTCACCCCTACCATCCCTGAGCCTCCTGCTTTCCTGCCTTAACACACCCTCTCCCCACTCAGGTCTATTATTTCCCTTTGGGGTACTCACTCTAAGGGGGTTTGTGGTTTCTCTAACAGCTCAGAAGTCTGGGGCCTAGAGTGAGGGCAGAGTGGGCTATGCCCCTCAAAGGGGCCCACACCAGTCTGGATTCACAGCAAACAATTTAGGCCTCTGCCCCTGGGGTTCCCTCTACACAAAGATAATTTATGGTCAGTTGTTTGGAAGTCAGAGCTATTTTCCTAAGGAAACGACCTAAAAGGAGTATGTAGGTGCCCAGAAGAACTCATAAAAGTCCACTTGACTCACATACCTCATCTGGGGTTCTAACCGTACTCTAGAACCTACCTAACAGTACACCACAGTTCCTATGGTTTCTATGGAAAAAGGAGTTCTGAATTCCAGCTGTGAACATACCTCTGCCTCTGCCACCAGCAGGAACAGCCCAGCATTCACCTTCCACAGCCTGCCAACCCAATGGTAGGGAAACGCCAGAAGCCTAGAGTGTTTTATTCTTAAGAAAGGGCTTGGGGTGAGGGGAACTCTGGGAGGTGGAACCAGGCTGTGGAGAATGGAGAGTTGGGTTCAGGGTGAAAGATCCCAGCTGCCTCTGGGTTTTAGGGTCTTCCAGAAATGCAGGCTGCTCCCCTGAGCTTTAACCCAGAAGACAAGCCTGGTCCGCACTACAGCATTGCTGCTACAAAGAACAGGTGGGGGGGTTCCAGTGGAAGAGGGGTGGGAACTAAGGAAAATGTGTCTGTGGGTTTCTATGTGAGGTCAAATAAGGAGTTAAAAAAACAAACAAACAAACTTAAAAACTAAAGCTAGATCAGTACTATGATCAGTACTATGTTTGTTAAGGAGGTCAAATCAAATTTAATAGACTATATCATAGCCTTCTGAAACACGCAGCTCACAGAAACATTTAGTGTTGGTAAGTCCCCTTGGACGTGACCCTTTTGCAGACATGTGAGAACATTTGACTTTATGTCCAATCTCTCTCTCTTATTTGCACTTTAATTAATACTTTGCTTGTGTAGACTCAGGGTAAATTTATTTACAAATAAAAAAATTTAAGTGTGGAGGGGCGCCTGGGTGGCTCAGTCCTTAAGCGTCTGCCTTTGGCTCAGGTCTTGATCCCAGGGTCCTGGGATCGAGCCCCGCATCAGGCTCCCTGCTCTGCGGGAGGCCTGCTTCTCCCTCTCCCACTCCCCCTGCTTGTGTTCCCTCTCTCGCTGTGTCTCTCTCTGTCAAATAAATAAATAAACCTGAAACCTATTTAAAAAAAAAAAATTTAAGTGTGGAGAAAACAAGTATGAGCCTCTATTTTATTTCCTTGGATTTGTTTGAAAGGTCAAGAAAAAAATGTTTTCCTAGGTTGTGGAGGAGGGAGATGTTTTCCGTACAGTAGTTCCCCCCCCACCTATCCACAGGGAATAGCTTCCAAAATCCTCGGTGAATGCCTGAAACCGCAGATAGTACTGAACCCTATATAGGTTTTTCCTATACATATATACCTGTGATAAAGTATTACTTATAACTTCAGCACAGTAACAGATTAAGAATAACAATAATAAAAAGAACCATTATAAATTAATGTAATGTAATAAAAGTTATGAGACTGTGATCTCTGTCTCTCAAAATATCTTACTGTACTGTACTCACCCTTATTGAGACGATCCGAGATGAGAACATGTCTACGTGATGAGCTGAAGTGACGTGATGATGCAGGCACTGTGACGTAAGGGTAGGCGACTACGAACCTTCTGACCATGCGTCAGCAGGAGGAGCACCTGCCTGCCTCCAGTTGGCTATTGATGGGGCTGAAATCAAGGGAAGCAAAACCCTGGAAAGCAAAACCGTAAATAAAGGGGGACTGCTGTATGTTTAATAATTCCTGTTTGGAAGCTCAAAAAAGTACATTTTAAATGACAATAGTAATATGTGGGTTTGTTTATTGCAAGTACCAATGGATTTTTTATATTTTTTTAGTTTTTTTTTTTATTTTTATTTTTTTTTTTTAAGATTTTATTTATTTATTTGAGAGAGAGAATGAGAGGGGGGAGGGTCAGAGAGAGAGGCAGACTCCCTGCTGAGCAGGGAGCCCAACGTGGGACTCGATCCCGGGACTCCAGGATCATGACCTGAGCCGAAGGCAGTCACTTAACCAACTGAGCCACCCAGGCGCCCGAGTTTTATTTTTTTTATTTTAATTCCAGTATACAGTGTATTATTAGTTTCAGGGGTAGGAGATAGTGATTTAACAATTCCATACATTTCTCAGTGCTCGTCATCATAAGTGTACTCTTTGATCCCCATCACGAATTTCACCCATCCCCCTACCCACTGAATGGATGTAAATAAGGATTGTTGTATCTTATCTAAGTCCCCTCTCTAATTCTACATGTTAGATATTCTGATGTCAAACTACTTTCACGTGACCACATACCAGAAGTGAAAAAAGAGAAAGATGATTTAGAAAATTTACCAGATTCAGGAAAGGTTGGATCCGATGGGCTATTTTGTGTGCCAGAATCCTAGTAGCTTTGGTAATGAATTAACAGATAAATAGTTCCATAACTTCTTAGATTCAATCAATTCCACAATAGTTTCTGAGACAATTATGTGCTAAGCAGTGTAGTGTGTGATATGGAGAAATACACACAAAAACACACTGCATGGCCCCATCACCTGTGGAGTTTATATATCTTTATTCAATTTACATGCTTGAAAAAGTAGAGATCTCTCTTTCACATGGAACCAACTCCCACACCAAGTGCCTCTTGCTCTCTGAGAGAAGGGGCAGGAGCCCAGGTGAGCTCCAGGAAATGGTTATTATTTGAATGGACTGAATGGTCACTTTGGAAAGCCCACAGAGGTTAAGCCTCGCCCTCATAAGAGACTGTGAAGAAACTGGACTGCTTTTTTTTTTTTTTCAGGGTTTTCTTTTTTTTTTTTTAATTTTTTTATTCTTATGTTAATCCCCATACATTACATCATTAGTTTTAGATGAAGTGTTCCATGATTCATTGTTTGTGCGTAACACCCAGTGCTCCATGCAGAATGTGCCCTCCTCAATACCCACCACCAGGCCAACCCATCCTCCCACCCCCCTCCCCTCTAGAACCCTCAGTTTGTTTTTCAGAGGAAACTGGACTGCTTTTGAAGCAGGGGGGTGTGGGTCATTGGGGAACGATTGGGAAACAATGCGAGAGAAGAGATGGTGTTTGGAAAGATGGTCCTGCCAGTGGTGTGGGGTGAATAGGAGGCAAGTCACTAATTATGAGCTCACTGCAGTCTCTGTGGGGGAGGTGGGAGGGTCAGCACCAGCATGGTGGCATGAAAATGAAGGGAGTCACACAAAAGGCGCGTCAACAGGAACACTGATCTAACGCACAGTTCACTAGACCAAGAAGGAGACAGTCCATTTCCCTTTTAAAGCTCTAATCTTGGGTCTTTTCTCTTGAGCCATTTCTTCACCACCTTTCTTTTGTATCTGTTTAAATTATTATAAAAGTGCATATGTTTTATTTTGGAAAATTTGAAAAGTACAGAGACAATATGAAGAAGGCATTGAAAAGCACCTGTCTTCTCACCGCCCAGAGATGATCTAAAGATAACCATTTTGGTGTATTTTTTTTCCCCAGCCATAACTGGTGCCTTTAGGAGCAATTATTAAACAGGGTGAGTGAGGTAGAGTACAAAGATAAAACAGCTTGATTTTTTTCTCCCTACCACTGCCTTCAAGCTTGCTTCCTCAGTTCTCCCTGCTCGGCCCTACGCCATGATGCAGGCTGAGTCACAGCTGGCCCGTCACTTTCAGATACTAGAACCCTCGCATGTGCAGAAATGAAAAAGTCCCCTGTGATCTACATTAAGGCAATGCTTCTCTCTTTTGTGAGCCCAGTCCTTTCTGGAGCTCGGGGACTTGGAGCTGAGAAGGAGGCAATGGCCCTGGTCTTTCCTACTCTTTGTCCCTCCCCACAGATCCCATGGGAAAATCCACATGCATTTACCCCAAAGGTAAAAGCAAGGCCTGGGTCCCCCCTCCTGCTGCCCCCCTCCATCTGCCCCCCCTCCATCTGCCAAGCCAGCTTCCCACCTTCAGATACCTCCAAGGGCAGCATCCAGCACAATCGGATCCCTATAAGCACACTCTAAACTATAAATTCCCTTCAAATAAAACCTCTCATAGAGATTGTTCCTGGTGGGAGTGGTGAGTGCTAGGCTTCTTTAATTTTTCTTCTCATTTTTAAAACTTATACTAAATACTATGGGACTGTGTCTTAACCCCTTTCTTGAGAATATGGGGATACTCTTATCAATTATTCTCAGCTTCTGTCTATTCAATAACAGACAAAAGAAAAAGTTCCATTTCACATCCTAGTACATATATATACACACACACAAAAATGATAATAATAATTGGAACCACATCACATCATTTTGCATCCTACTTGAGTTCCATTAGTATCATAGGGTAAGCATTTCCCATGTCAAGTATTTTCCAAAAACGTGGTTTTTATTGGCTCATAATTTTTCATTATACAACCGTCCATTTCTCCTTAATTATTCAACCATCACCCAATTAGACATTTACAATTAGGCTAATATAATTATCTCTGCAATAAACATCCTTGCATGTAACCTTGTTCACATCTTTGATTATATCCTTAGGATAATTCCCCTAGAAGGAAAATGTTTCAATCAAAAGTTATGGAGATTTGTAAGGCCCTTGATACATAGAGCACCTTCAAGAGAACTGGAATACCCTTCACACACATTGTACCTGAGCAGTTTTACCATATTTTTCACCTTTGCAATTTGATTAGTGAAATAGCATATCTAATGGTTTTGATTTATATTTTTTGGACTGTTATTGAGGCAGATTCTTATTTATTGTATTTTTTGTATTTTTTCTCCTGCAAGTGGTTCATGGCCTCTGCTCATTTTTTTTCTTGAAATGTTAGTATTTTCTTACTGATGTGTAAACTCTCTCCATGTAATAAGAATAGTTACTTTTTTTTTTTTGTAGTGTTGTATTTGTTTCAAATATTTCCCAATTTGTTTGGTTTGATTTTGTTTATAATTTTTTCACTTGCAGAAACATTTAACTTCTGTTCAATCAGATCTGTTGGTGTCTTTTCATATAACCTAGCCTAAATGGAAAAGGATTTATTAGAAGGATAGTAGTTAGCTCACAGAAATTTAAAAAGAAATCCTACAGAAATCAGGGCAACTCTGTGGATTTTAGGAAATGAAACTAATCTCAACATCATCAAACTTATAAATCTATCCTTCTGCTTCTCTCATTTCCTATGGTCTCCATTTGGCTTCATATATTCCTACCATCAGCTTTCTCCAGATTGATATCCTTTTAGCTTCTATACCCAGAGAGGCCACGAGGACTTATCTTCAGGTAGAAAAATCCTAGAGAAGGACTCTGGCTAGCTCCGCCACGTGCCAAGTTCACCTCCAGGCCAGTCATTGTGCCAAGAAAATAAAGGACTCTGATTTGCCAGATAAAGGGTATATCAAGAGAGAATAGAGCAGCTAACCTGAAGGGAAGAATGGGTTAAAGCACTAGGCAGACAAAGCAAAATAAAGCAGAAAAAAATGAAAAACCAAATGTCCGTTAGAGATTTGTCCTTCATACTTTCTTCTACTAGTTTGATACTTCTTTCTTCATCCTGAAATCAATGAACTTTTCTTCTGGATTTCATTTTTTACATTTGACTCTATCTTCACCAAATCCTCATCCCTCCTCCTGATATTCACTTCATCATTTCCACTGGCTTGGCTATGGCCTAGTTCAAGGCCCTGTGCCTTTGTGTATGGTCTACTGAGCTCATTTTCCTGATTCCCCCCACCTCCCCCCACACACAGTCTCCCCTTCCTCAGTTCATCCTGCATGCCATCACAAAATCGATGATCCCAAAATACCACATCCATCCCTTTAATGATGTCATTTTCCTCTGCCAAGCCTCCCTGTGCACCACCCATTTACTAGAGAGGAAATGACAGCTAATGTGACAATGAAAATGTCTCACACAGCCTTCAGAACTCTGCTTGGTAGATAAAATCTCCATTGGATAGTGGGGAAACTGAGGCTCAGAGAAGCAAAATCACTAAGTAACATGTTGTTTGGAGGTGGCAGAGCTGGGACTTAATCTATGCTGCCTGAATCCTTACCCCAGAAACCAAGCTCCTCACAGTGGACGGGTCTCCAAGTAGAGTCTAAACAGCTTAAACTTTTTCAAATTTCCAGGCTTTGCTTCCTTTTGTTGCCATACCTCTATCTCTCACTTTCATCAAACCTATTTGCCTCCCAGTCCCACCACCACTACTCCCAAGCCTGCCAGCTTCTCTTTTGCCTTCCTCTCTTTACTTGGGGTAAAGAAGTACTTTCTCGCCAATGCTCTGCCTACCCACCCCACACCCCCGCCCCACTCTTCATCTATTGAGAGTTCACCTCCCCTGAATCTCTGTTTAATTTCACTTCTTCCATAAAGTCTTTCCTGATCATCTCACAAAAATAGTTCTTTTTCAAAATGCCTAAACTATGCTTCTCTGACACCCACTTAATTGTCTTTTTGCCCATGTGCTTTTTAACTTTTGACCATCCTGCCAGCTAGATTGTGAGCCTCTTGGGATCAAGCCCATGCCTCATATTTCTTTGTATTCCCACATGCTTAGTTCAAGGACTTATGAGTCAATACTTGTTGATCCATGTCTGTTTCCTCCAACCTGCTGTCTTAGGAGACATAATAATTCTGAAGGATTTTCCTCTTCTTCCTCTCCTCTCTTAGTTTAATGTTAAGCCTTTTTGTCAAATCTTTGACCTTT